TGATTATGCTTCCCAAGTACTTGAAATGCTCCACATTCTCCATCTGTTGGTTTCCAATTACAATGTTCAATGGTTCTGCTCTCGGTGCTATCCTCATTACCTTTGATTTTTCAATGTTGATTTCCATTCCATACTCTCTACCTGTTTCCACTAACTTGTCCATCATGTTCTGTAATTCCTCCTCTTCCTTTGCCAGACTATATAATAATATATAAATGTATCTAACTGTTCTGCACTTCACATTTTCCTAGGTTTTCAAAATCTATAAGTCTGGAAATAATTGATATGATACACGTTATATAATGTGTTTTATATTATCAGCATTGCACTTGTTCATCAGTCATTAATGCTCCAAATGTAGATAATAAAACAATGCTGAAATGCCTGATAGGAGCCTTCACCAAGCAATGAACTCAACTTGATACTTTATAAACTGAAATATTAAATATTAACAGTATAGGCTTAATAACATTATCTTTAAAATCATGAAATGCATTCACTCATTTATAATGATGTAGTTTAGTGTGGGAAATTCACTGACAGTCATCTTTCAACAGTAATAATATTATTTTTAAAAGGGTAGCATTCTAATAGATTTGCAGATGGCCTCTTTTGTCCACTCCCCCACATTACTCACTTCTAGGAAGCATTGGTTTTCTGAATTTGATAGGTGAACATGCAATAAAATATGATGAAATTATTAGAGATCAAGATTCAACAGAAAGCCATAGTCTGTAATGAAACTTGATGTCATCACTATAATTCAGTTTTGGAAATCCAGAATGCAGGTGAAACATCTATATAATAAGCAAATAACTTGGTAAGGAAATGGTTACCATGTACTTTGATCATCAGTGAACCCTAAATAAGCAATTTTCATATCTTCAGGCCTATGAAGAAGGCACCAATTCCAGATGGATACCAAAGTAAAGGAAGCTTGATTTCTATTGCATGTTGTACACTTGTATCATTATTCAGTAACAGTGGCTGCATTGCTGACACGTGTACACTTCTATCTTGCTTCAGCTTATAAAATAGACATCATTCTGTTTCTTAACAGAATCTATGGGCCCAAAAACAGATTCAATAACTGACTATCCTCCAGTTGGATCACTTTTCAGTTTTTCTAAGGATTGGAAATCAACAAAACATGTGGCAAGAATAAAAATTTCAAATGGACTGGCTTGGAATGAACACCTAAATTAATGTACTACAATGATTCCCCAACAAGGAAAGTTGAGGCTTTTGACTTTGATACTGAAAGTGGAAAAATTAGTAAGTCACCATGTTTTATAAATTTCTATATAATGTTAATATCCAATTTTTAATCATATTACTGCTTCTTACTATACAAAATTTTATCATATTCACAGATTACTATAATCATATCAAATTCAAAAGTATTCTGTTGTCCATTTTGAATCACTGATATGACCATAACTCTTTACCACATAGTTTTTATAGTTTACAAATAGAAAACAATATTTTTTAGTAGTCTGTGTGTGTCCACCGGGCAGAGAACGATTCAAAGAGAGAGAGCTTGGAGACAGATAGATCTGGTTTTTGGGTTGTTTGACGTAACTAGTCGTTACCCTGACCAAAGCCTGAGCCTTGGGAGGTTTGAGGAATTTGTGTCGGTTTGTCCTCCTTTTGAATTTATATATTTTTTTAAAATACATTTTGGTAATTTGGGAGTGCATTTATTTTGTATTTTGGTTAACCCCTGTGATAATCCTATGCCATATGACCTCCCGGCCTCTGGGATTATTTTGATCCTGTCACGGTCGCCGGTAGGAGAGAAAGCCTGAGGAACAGAGCTCCAAAAACAGAAAACACAAGGGGGTCAGGCTCCAATAAAGCAAGCATGCTGGGGAATGGCCTGGTTATGAGGGGCATTACCTGGGGCTGTTCCCAAGGGATTCAGTGCCTGGAAGCGGTCCAGCCCTGTTTGAGTCCTCTCTCTGAGGCCTGAATAATATACTCTGTACCACAGCATCAACAAGTGTGTTCAACATAGTGAAGCCAAAGACAAGGAATAACAACAAATGGAACAGCAATGAAAATATGATCTGCAACAATGACCCCTCATAAAGCAGGTCTTCTACCTACCTCCTAGGAAATATGTGACTGACGGACATAGACAAGTCCATAACATGTTTTTCACTCATAGTAGAGCGGGAAGAACACCTAACAACAACTACAGGAGTGTGTAACATGGTCATAATTGCAACCAACCAAAAATGTCCGACTTTTGTAGGAGTCAATCCTATGACCACCTACATCCTAACTCAGGAATGAAACTGCAATTTATTAGTGAATTATAAACTAACATTACCTAGTATATAACAACGATTGGAAGTTTGTGCAATATGAAAGTAGGCTTTATGAGTTCTTCCTAGAACTACTTGTTTCAAAAGTTTAAAAGA